AAACGCAATTTTAACAACCATGGTCTTAGGGCGGACAACCTTAGAGAGGGATCTGACCATTGATAAACCTCAGGAGAAGGTAGAGTCAGCGTAGCTGATCGTCAACTGGTGTTGTATGTGTAAGATGGATGAGAAGTCGGTGAACAATCTACTCTTGCATTGCCCAGTGACTAGGGACAGATAGGGCTTTATTCTTGCCTGCTTTGGTGTTTCTTTGGTCATGCCTCATTCTACAAACAGCATGCTTACAGCTTGAAGAGAAAGTACAATGGAAGCAAGTTCGAGATGCTTGGAAAATTGCTCCTCTTTGCTCGTGGTCAGGTATTTGGTAGAGAGAGTAATAAGAGATCTCTTGATGGGAAGGAGACTCCTACTTGGGCACTCAAATTCTCTATTCTTTCTATATTCTTATTTTTGTTAGTTGTTATGGTAAACGGTTGAAATTGTAAATTTGTAGAAGATATGATAATTTTAGGGATAGTTTGAGGATATAGCATATTGTTTTGGCTGTGAGCTTTCTATTTGGGTTATGCTCCCTTTTCAAGCGCTATTTTATGATATGTTACTTATAAATAATACTCCCTCCGTCCCAATATAAATGTCACTTTTGGGGAGTAGTAATTTTTAAGGGGACATGTGGGACATGCATTGTCCCCCTGGAAAATTACTAACTTGCCCTTTTTTTTAATATTCAAGTTTGAAATTTTAAATTCCAAGGACATATATGGAAATATGTGAAATATGTTGTTTGAAAAAGGAAAGTAGACAATTACTTTGGGACAACCCAAAAAGGAATGGTGGACAATTACTTTGGTACAACCCAAAAAGGAAAGATGGACACTTTTTTTTTGGGACAGAAAGAGTAAATAGATAAAGCATTAGCACTTCAATAATGGATAAAAAATGTAACTTCAACTAATATTTACATTGCCTTCTATTTATCAAAAATATATATATATTTACATTGCCTTCTATTTATCATATATATATATATACATTGCCTTATGATTCAAAACTGAATGAATTAATACTTGTAAACTGCAACCTCAATATCATGCTCTCATATCATAACCATGACTTGAGTTCTGTACTCAGTCCAGGTTTGGTAGTAGACAATTAAGAATCCAAGTAAAAATGATTTTTATGAAGAAAAAAAAATCAGTAATATTATGCAACAACTATTGAACATACCAAATCTCTAAATAAATAGTATATATCTAGGAAACATGGGCACGCCTAAAAGGGCAAAGAATCCGTGTCGGAGAGTTTGAATACTACATTTATTGCTCTCATTCCGAAGGAGGGGGGGGGGGGGGGGGGGGGGGGAGTTTGGAGGTTTGGGATTTTAGACCTATCAGTTTGGTGGGAAGCATTTACAAATTAATTGCCAAGGTCCTTGCTTTCAGATTGAGGAGGGTTTTGGATGGGTTCATTTCTGATTCTCAAAATGCCTTAGTGGGAGGTGTCAGATTTAAGACTCGTCCCTTATCGCTAGTGAGTGTGTGGACTCCAGAATGTGAGTGGGTTCCTGGTGGTTTCTGTAAGTTGGACATTGAGAAAGCATATGATCACATGAGTTGGAGCTTTTTTCTCTATTTGTTGGAGAGGATGAGAAATGGAGGAGATGGATAGAGTTATGTATTTCGAGTGCTCAATTCTCAGTTCTCGTGAATGGAGCTCTAATGGGTTTCTTTCCCAGTTCGAGGGGCTTGAGGTAGGGGGACCCGCTTTCTCCCTTTTTGTTCCTTATTGTGATGGAGGCTCTAAGTAGATTGTAGAGGAGGAATGTTGACTTGGGATTCCTGAGAGGCTTCGAGGTGGGTAAGGACACAAATAGTCAGCTCGAGATTTCTCACTTGATGTTTGCTGATGACACTTTAGCGTTTTGTGTTGCAGATGTGCCCCACTTCAGATATTTGATATTTATCCTGATTTGGTTCCAAGCTGTCTTGGGTCTGAATGTGAATGGAGGGAAGAGTGTTTTGGTGCTGGTTGGGGAGGTTCCTGAGATTGCTACGTTAGTTGATGTTCTTAGGCGCAGCATTGATTCCTTTCCTATTTCCTATTTGGGTTTACCCTTTGGTTCGCCTTGGAGGAGTGTGGGGAGATGGGATCCTATGGTGTGGTGGAAAGATTCGAGAGGAGGTTGGCGGGTTGGAAAAAGCAGTATCTTTCTAAGGGTGGAAGGGTTACTCTGATGAAGAGCACTCTTTCAAGCCTCCCTACATATTTACTCTCACTTTTCCAGAGTCCCTCCTCTGAGAGGATTAAGAGGTTGCAGAGGAATTTCCTATGAGGGGGCTTGGGGGAGGAGTTGAAGTATCATCTGGTTAGCTAGGAGAAGGTTTGCTGCCAGACCCGGGTTAGAGCTTTTGGAATCAGAAGATTGGTGCCATTCAATAAGGCTCTCCTCGGGAAGTGGTAGTGGAGATTTGGGGTAGATAGGCATAAGCTATGGAGGAGGGGTGATTGCGAGTCGATTTGGGGAGGGGAGAGGAGGGTGGACCTCCGTTGAGGTGCGTATTCCAGGGGGAGTTGGGGTTTGCAAATCCATTCGGAAGGGGTGGGATGAATTTTCAGAACACATCAAATTTCGACTCAGGGATGGTAGGAGAATTCGTTTTGGGGAGGATGTTTGGGGCAGTGATCGTTCTCTTGATCTTACTTTTTCTTGGCTCTTCAGGATTGCCATGGATAGACATGCCATGGTGGTTGACTACTATCGCTTTGATAGTGGGAGATCGTTTTAGGATGTTCGTTTCACGAGGCACTTCCAAGACTGGGAGATTGAGGATGTCATTGGTTTTCTGGAGCTATTGTATCATCAAGAAATTGTGGGCGGCGTTTCTGATGATTGGGTGTGGGATCATGTTACTCAGGGCCGCTTTGATGTTCGGTCCTTCTATAGATGTCTCATGGAGGGGGCAGGGCTTCCTTTTCCATGGAAGGCTGTTTGGAGCTCAAAAGCCCCTTTAAAGGTGGCTTTCTTTGCATGGACCTCTGTTCTAGGGAAGATATTAAACAAAATAATTTGAAGAGAAAACAAGAAGTTGTGGTCAATTTTTGTTGCATGTGTCTTAGAAATGAGGAGACGGTGGACCACCTTCTTTTGCACAGCCATATGGCTAGGGATTGTTGGGACTTGATGCTAGGTTTGTTTGGGGTTCAGTGGGTTATGCCCAACACTACCAGAGGGTTAAGTGAGGCTTGGAGAGGTTTTACAGTGGGGCCAAGCCTGGAATGTTTGGAGGGTTTCGCCTTTGTGCGTTTGGTGGTGTCTGTGGATTGAAAGAAAAAGGAGATCTTTTGATGGAAAAGTGACTACTATCTCTGCGCTTAAGTTCTCCATTATTACTACTCTTTTTTGTTAGGTTGTAGGGAGAAATTATAGATCCTTAAAGAAGATTGTTGATTTTTTGGACTCTTTGAGAGTGTAGAGGCCCTATTTGGCCTTGTGTGGCTCTCTTGGAATGCCCTCCCCCTTTTGAGTGCTTTTTATACCATTTTTACTTATTAAAAATAATAATAATACTTAAAAGTTGTTTTATAAAAAAGTGTTATATTAAACAATCAAATATATATGCTTATATTTAGTTCAAAGGTTCAAACTCTTGCTCAATCATCTTTGACTCTCTCTTGTTCTCCCACCAACCAAGCTTCGCTCTCAGTGGATGCTCTCTCTCTCTCTCCTCTTTTCTCTCTTCTTCTTTCTCCTCCTCTATTCTTTCTTTCTTCTTCTTTTTTTTTTTTTTTTGATAATTAAGCAAATTCAATAAAAGGCATTCAAAAGGGGAACGTGTCCCATAAACAACAAAAGGATCCTATGGACCCAAGGAAGAAATAAAGTCAGTTATCTCCTCTAGGGAGGAACAATGCCTGCCCAAACCCCAAACGCATAAAGATGTAATAAAAGTTGACTTAAGAACAACAATCGAGGATTCCTCTCCTTCAAAGGATCTATTTTTCTGCTCCCTCCACAGACACCACCATAAGCATAACGGCGCCGTCCTCCAAAATCCACAAGCATGACCTCCCACAAAGCATCCTCTCCAAGCCTCCTTCAGTCCTCTCGCAGATCTAGGCATCACCCACGAAACCCGAAACATGCCTAACAAAAGATACCAACAGTCAAAAGCCACTAGACAGTGCAAAAGAAGATGATCCACCGATTCTCCACCTATTCTTTCTTTCTTCTTATTCAACACAAACCCTAGATACTTCACTCTTTCCTTTCACAACAAAATTCTTTTTGCATCTCTTTTTCCTTTTTCCTCTTCTTTCCATGAACTTTTTCTCTTCTATGAATTCTCACTAAGCCCTAATTCTGTTTTTAACAAAACCCCTATCCTCTTTATTTCTTTGTTTTTCTCTTTCTTCTTTCTATCATTCATTCTTTTCCCAGCAAAACACAATTTTTTTTTTTTCATTATTAGACTGATAAAAAAATTATACTACTCTTAATTTCTTGAAGTACATATTGTATTTATTATTTGTAGTGTCCGTGTCCTAATTTTTTAGGATTTGCCGTGACCGTGTCTTTTCGAATACGTGTCCCGTAACCGTTTCCGTGCCTCTTAGGTATTTATGATACCTAGAGATAAGATTTACATATTTCCTCCCTCCATATTTTTCTTTTTCTTTTTCTTTTTCTTTATTTTTATCTCTTTTAATATGAGATGCCAATCTATAGGATGCTCCCACCCAAATTCAAAATTGGATTTTTCTCAAATGACAAATAATAAAAAATAAAAAATTGTGCAACATATTATGAGGATAATGCAAATGAACAGAGTAGTACAGGTTAAAACAATGAAAACATACAACTGCATCAGGTTCTAAGCTCATAAGTACAGGTTAAAACAATGAAAATATACAGCTGCATCAGGCTCTAAACTCGTAAGGTATAAATAGAGCTTTTAAATCATGTAACTTATACTAAAATTATCATTCGAATGAAAAGTAATGAAAAATGAGGGCACATGCACCATAAACACACTTACCTGGGCCTTCACCGTGGATTGCATTACCAGATACATTAGTAGAAAAGGCATTACCAGCTGCATTAGTAGAAAAGGCATTACTCTCAACATTGGTTGCATCATTAACTGCATCAGTACGACTCGTAAACCATCGCCGGCTGTCGCAAGTGTTCCTCATCATCATTTGCGTCTAAAAATACAAAAATTCAGTCAGCCAAATTTGATGACAGATGAAGATGCAATTTTCATTTAAATTTGAACTCCTACAGAAGATCCAAATTCAAGTTCAAACCAAATTTAAAGGTAAACCAAAAGTCTTCAACAACAATAGGAATATATATATATATATATATATATATATATATGCTACATGAAGAACGTAGCAAAGGGCAATCTTATTCAATCCAAATAATCAGTTTGATCAAGTCGGGATCATCATCTTTTTTTTATAAGTTTGGAATCATGATCATTCAAGGGCGGATTCAGGATTTCTCGTTGGGGTGGGCTAATATTAAACATAAATTTAATAACAAAATTTCTTATGCTAAAAAAAAAAAAAAATTATAACATAATATAGATAAATATTTGAATTCAATGATATATTAAAGTTTTATTCATTTGGTTTCACCACATTACATTTTGCATGCTGGTTGGGGCCTTTATTTTAGTATGGTGGCCGAGTTGACTTGGGCTTCATTGAGTGGGCTAATTTTGGGGTGGGCTAATACTATTAATTTTTTTCTTTTTTTTGGGCTGGGCTAACATTAGTATAGTAAAAAAAAAAATTTTTTTTTCGGGTGGGCGGGCTAATACTATTAATTTTTTTCTTTTTTTTGTGCTGGGCTAACATTAGTATAGTAAAAAAAAAAAAAAAAATTTTTTTTTTTTTCGGGTGGGCTACAGCCCACCTTTGCCTACCCGTGTAGGCCTTTGTGATCATTATCCTTCTCTTTATCCCATATAAATGGAATCGAGCATATCTATTCTCTTATTTCATTCTTTACTATTGAAATTCTTTTCTCCCATTATATTTAATTTTTGAATGGTGTCTAATTATCTCACATCGAGCATAAGCTCAAACAGTTTATAAAACTTATATATTGTTAATTTCATTCAAGCTGCCTCAACAATACAAAGGTGAGCCTTATTTATAGCCTAATCTGAACTTGCTCACTAAGGAAAGGAATGCAACTTGCATTCACTTTCATAATGACATGGACCCCACTTTCTCACATGTCACCTTACTCACTAAGCAAAACAATGCAAGTTGCACTTACTATAATGATGCCCTCACGTGTCACTTCCTTGCTCACTCAGTAAAGAATGCAACTTGCAACCTCCTTCCTCACTAAGTAAATGCGACTAGCACTCACTTTCATAATGACACTCTCACGTGTCACGTTGCTCACTAAGTAAAAGAATACAGCTTGCACATTTTTATTTACCCATGTAGTGATTATTATATATATTATATATCAAATCATGGATGCCCTGCATCAGACTCCTCCGCTTTAGAAAAACTCGTCCTCGAGTTAAGCTGAAAATAAAGCTGTTCACTAGGCAGGTGACACTAGACTAAATCAGCAGAAGGTAGGAGAAAGGACCATGCCCTCAGGAAGGTCGAATGCATAGGCATGTCCCTCTTTCGTCTTGAAAGCACACTTGTCTCCATAATCATCACGGATTTGATGATAATAAATCAAGTTAATATTCGAAAAGAATTTTGAGGCAACCACCATATCAATCTTATCATCAAAACATGGTATAGGAACCAACTCTTCAACTTGCCTCTGCAACACTTCATTCTCGACTGGGTTCATGCAGTATTGTTGCACGTTTGGTAAACTCATGCCAAGAACCAAATCTTTGTGATGTTGAATTTCTCGCATGGGTGATAAACCAACTGGTAACTCGTCTGAGATCAACTACTGTTATTCAGCTCATAAAGGTTGCACTGGATCCAAAACGAGGTGACTCTTTGCTCTTAACAATGATTGTCATATCATCGGATTCCTTTACTCCCTCTTCAAACTATGCCTCATCTCCAGCAAGAAAACAATGCCCCTCCACTTTAGAAGCTTTGGGCAGTTCTTCTTCGGTTGGATTCTGAATTTTATCATGTTCTACCACTCGCAATCTTCCAATATATCTCTCTATATGTTGGTTTACCGACTTTAAGAGATTATTGCATTCATTCAAGAAGTAGTACTCATCAATATAGTGGTTAATAGGTGTAAGTACCTTTGCATGCAATTTTGATATTGGTGGTGCGAGATCTCTTCATACTCTTGTGGGAGAAATCTGGCCATCAATAATTTCTTCATCTTGTGCCACATTTGGGCAGGTTGCTTTCTGAGCCATCTCCGGTGTCTTTGACTTTGTTCCCAGCGGGCCACCAGGATGTAGCACCTCCTTGAAGCTTGTATTGTACAAGCTTAACCTACTTGTCTTCGGGTATCTCCATATACTCGAAAAAACGCTCAACATCGTTCAGCCAGTCTGAAAAATCCTCAATATGAAGATATCTACTGAAACTGGGAAGATCAATCTTCATGTAACAATCATGAGTGTTCAGATATGTTTGGTTTTTGTCTGGCCTAGCTCGGTCACACCAATCCATCCCGAATCTTCCTAACTCCTCATTATCGGAATAATTCGCATAGGCTGGAGGCCTCCGTGGATTTACACCCATGTTCAGTTGACCGCGAGAAAAATCTCTAGCACGAACCCGAACAGGATCACGAACCTGGTTGCCACAAATCCCAAGACTAGCTATTTGTCTAAACTGTTTTTCTTAAGTATGAATGACTGCCTTTGCGATCTTCTTCGGCAAAGCGGTTGCTGCCGAAACAATCATTCAACATCAAACCAGGGTAAATCAAGGCTCTGATACCACCTCACGTAACGGAAGCAGGAAAAGAGATATATATCTCACACCGAGCTCAAGCTCAAACAGATTATAAAACTGATATATTGTTAATTTCATTCAAGCTGCCTCAACAATACAAAGGTGAGCCTTATTTATGGCCTAATCTGAACTTCTTCACTGAGGAAAGGAACGTAACTTTCATTCACTTTCATAATGACGCGGACCCCACTTTCTCACGTCACCTTACTCTCTAAGTAAAACAATGCAAGTTGCACTAACTATAATGATGCCCTCACATGTCACCTCCTTGCTCACTAAGTAAAGAATGCAACTTGCAACCTCCTTACTCACTAAGTAAATGCAACTTGCACTCACTTTCATAATGACACTCTCACATGTCACCATGCTCACTAAGTAAAAGAATACAACTTGCACCTTTTCATTTACCCATATATAGATTATTATATATAATATATTAAATCATTCATGTCATGCATCTTTATTCTATCCCATATTGGTTATCCTATTTTTCTTAAAACTAATCTTATATTTCTTAACAAGTGTATCCACGGGTCTAAATTATACATGTCTAGACCACTTAAGTTGGCCTTCCTTATAATTTATTAGCAACAAGTGTAACTCTTGATTATGTCACACGTTAATCATTTACCATATTACTTCTAATTACTCGTATCATCTCTTTAAGCATTCTTATTTCTGCCGCACAAATGTGTTTCATACTTCTCATCTAGCTAAGCATTCTTATTTCACCTACACAAATGCATTTCATACATCTCTTTTATAACCTGGCAAGCCTGCTCCCTTAGTTGGCAACTTCATCTTAATATAATTAGACCCCAAATTATTTGATTATACATCTGCTCGCATCACTTGTTGTAATTAGGGGTGCACAAAAAATCAGTGGAACCGGTGAATCGATCCGAACCGAACCAGACCGTATGGTTCAATCTAGTTTTGTTATGATTTGGACTGGTCCAATTCCAAAAACAGAGAACCGCTAACTCACAATTCAGTTCTGGTTTGGGGTCCAATGTCCATTAGGATTGAACTGTTAATGATATATATATATATATATATGATGTTGTGGCTTTTTGCTTAATCATATAATTTCTTCACATTTATTAAGTTTGTTCATAGTTTTTTAATACATGCACCCAGCAGAGATTTTGCCACTATTTTACGTCATTTGAGTCTCAATCTCACGCTTGCTGAAAAAGAAGTGAAAGTAGGAGATGAATTGACCAAATCTCTGGGAGGTATGGAATCACATGTTAGAATGATGGCACAGGTTCCTACTACTAAAGTCCAGAACTGTGGATATAACCGGACCAAACTGATCTCTTATGGTTCTGTTTGATTTTACAGTTGCTATGCCCGCTTCTGGTTCTGGTTCTAATTTTCTAGGAACTGTTGGGATAAGTTTGGTTCTCATTTAACCCAGGGATGGTACCGAACCGTGTGCACCGCTAGTTGTACTATACACTCGACCTTTTTTTGGAGAAGTGAACCAAGAAAAGGCCCCAACATAGAGGTGAAAGTCAGTAAATGGAATTGAAAAATTAGCCTAATGCTGCATAAAGTTTACTTGGGTTTCTATGTAGTGAGTGAAAATAATCTTATCTACCAGTTTATCAACCACTATTTTTAAAATCAATGGAAGTGTTCTACCAAAGAAAAACAGCCAAGGGAGCACTGTCAGTGTCACTAAGTGGGCTCTCGATTTTTCGTACTTCCTAATTGCTATCCACCATCTCATGAGTTTGTTTTTGAAAACACGAGAGAGAGAGAGAGAAGAAGAGGGGGGGGGGGGGGGGGGGGGGGGGGATTTGTGAATGAGGGTTTCTGATGTTATTTGTTAACCTTGCATGAAGATCCTGTATGGAAGTGCCCCTAGCTATTTCTACCAAAAGCTCACTCCGGATGCTTCATATTCCACCTATAACAACAGTATTCATTATAAGTGATGGAGAATACCAGAAATACACAAGAAAGTGGTCTACATGGCACATAATCTTGTTCAATGGAACTGACAAATTAATTGAATAATTACTATGGGGGTCATAATAAAAGGTTCCTGACAAACAATCTAGCCTGATGCTACAATTCCCCTTCCAGAAATGTTGAGCTTAATTGAAATACTGCAAAAATAAACCACCTATTCTGCTATAATCTCCAATATTTAAAAAGAACATGAAGCAAAAACAGAAGTAAGGTAATTGACATGTAAAAATAGGCAGAGACTACAAATCATAGTTTTCTATTACGCCCATGAATCCCACCGCTGGCAAAATTCCATCTTTTGCGAATCAACGTCTCCCAGAAACTAATGGCTCCCTCATATGGATTAGTCCTTAGAAGTATTCAGAAGGAGAGGACTCCTCTAGTTAATTTACTCTATATGAAAATAGGACCTCACTGCAAAAAGAGCCCTCTCTGTCATTGTAACCTTCAATGCCTCTTTCCTTCAGAAAAATGTAAACACAGCATATCATCACCTCCTTACAGGGGCACGCTATAAACCAAGTCTAGTTCAAATGAACAACTTTTCAAATGAGCTTGAGTTTGCAACAATCTCGGAAGGCGATAGAGACGGGCTTGAAATGCCGTTTGGGAAAGATGAGGAGTTGGCGGCTCTAAGAAGCTGTGATGGGGATAAAGCTACAGGGCCGGAGGGGTTTACTTTAGCTTTCTTTCATCAGAATTAGGAGGTGGTGAAGGCTGAGGTGATGGGGGCATTGGATTCTTTTTTTCTGCATGGTTCTTTTGAGAAGAGCCTCAACACTTCCTTCATCACTCTTTTTCCCAAAGAGGGTGGAGCATGTGAGGCGAAGGACTTAGTGTTGTTGGGGTGGTGTATAAAATTATTGCAAAAGTCTTCAGTTGTGGAGAGTTCTCGAAGGGGTGATTTCAAACTCCCAGAATGCTTTTGTTGGAGGGCGTCAAATTCTGGATTCAATTTTGATTGCTAGTGAATGCATTGAGGCTAGGGAGAGAAGTGGTATTCCGGGGGTTGTTTGCAAGCTGAATATCGAAAAGGCTTATGATCATATTTGCTGGAATTTTTTGATGTACCTGAGGGAGAGAATGGGCTTTGGGCAAAAGTGGAGGTCGTGGATTTTTTTCTGTATTTCGACTGCTCGATTCTCTGTTTTAGTGAATGGATCCCAGCTGGTTTTTTTGCTAGTTCTCTTGGATTGAGGCAGGGGGACCCTCTTTCCCCATTCTTATTTATTATCGTCATGGAGGCCTTTAGCCGTCTGATGGGGAGGGCGGGTGATCTTGGGTTCATTCATGGATTCTCGGCGGGTAGAGCTCCAAATCAGTTGGTCATCTCCCACCTGCTTTTTGTGAATGACACCATTGTCTTTTGTGATGCTATCCACCTTCAGTTGAGGTATTTACGGTGCGTACTGACCTGCTTCCAAGTTGTTTCAGGGTTGAAGATTAACACTGTGAAAAGCGAGATTGTACCAGTTGAGGAGGTGGATGATATTCATGCCTTGGCATACTCTGGGGTGTGGTGTTGGCTCTTTTCCGATCTCCTACGTGGGACTCCCTTTGGGAGCCTCATCAAGAAGAGTTTCTGTGTGGGATCCGATTGTTGAGCGGTTTGGGAAGAGGCTTGCAAGTTGGAAAAAGCAATACTTGTCCAAAGGGGGGAGGGTTACACTTATGAAAGGCACACTTCAAATCTTCCGACCTACTATATGTCGCTATTTCCGATGCCTAAGACAGTTGTTCGAAGACTTGATAATATTCAAAGGAAGTTTCTGTGGGGGGTGTAGGAGGTGAGTTCAAGTACCACTTGGTTAACTGGGAGAGGGTGTGCTCTCCAATTAATAAAGGGGGTTTGGGGATTCGAAGGCTAGATGTGTTTAATAAGGCATTGTTGGGCAAGTGGTTGTGGAGGTTCGGGAGAGAAAGGTTCAAGCTTTGGAGGCGTGTTATAGCTTGTCATTACGGGGAGGGCGATAAAGGGTGGATTTCTAGGAAGGCTAGGAGCCTAGAACCCCAGCAGGTATGGGCTCTTGGAAACTTATCCGTAGAGGTTGGGATGAATTCTCCAAACGTATTCGGTTCAAAGTTAGAAGCGGGAGTAATTTCAAGTTTTGGGAAAACAAATGGTGTGGGGATTCGGATTTAGCCAGTAGATTCTCTCGCATTTCCCGGATTGCTATGGCTAGAGATGCAGTGGTCACTAACTATTATCGACTCGATAATGGGAAGGTGACTTGGGATGTGTAGTTCCACAGACAGTTTCATGATTGGGAACTTTTGGAGGTTACAGACTTCCTAGCATTCATCTATAAACAGGTGGTGGTCAGGGTGGGCATGGACGAGATGTTGTGGGTGGGTACCCCGAGAGGAGTGTTCGAGGTCAATTTTTTCTACAAATGCATGTTGGAGCGCCCTGGCCTTATGTTTCCTTGGAAAGCCATTTGGAGGACAAAAGCTCCTCTGAAGGTGGCATTCTTCTTGTGGACTGTCGCTTTGGGAAGTATCCTTACTATTGATAACCTTAGAAAAAGAAGTCATATTGTGGTTGACATGTGTTACATGTGCAAGAAGATGGGGGAATCTGTCAACCATCTCCTTATTCATTGCTCAGTAGCTAGGGATGTTTGGGCTACGTTTTGGGTTGCGTTTGGTCTTCCATGGGTGTTCCCAGAATCCACGGTCGACTTGTTAAAGACTTAGAAAGGATGGACAATGGAAAGTCGAGTCAGAGATGCTTGGAGGGCCACTCCCCTTTGTATTTGGTAGGGTCTGTGGCGCGAAAGAAATAGGAGATTCTTTAAAGGAGAGGAGTCTTCCATTTGGGCTATTAAATACAATATTCTTACTTCTTTATTTTTTTGCGTATATGGGCGGGATTGTAATTCAATGGATAGTCTTTTGAATTTTGTGGATAGCTTAAAGCTATAGAGCCGATTGTGGGTCCGCCGTTGTCTTCTTTGGGATCGCTCCCCTTTTGAGGGCCTTTCATAAAACCTTACTTTTATCCAAAAAAAAGTTCCTTTTGGGATTTGAATTTGAAAAAGGAGTTG